AGGGTTTAGGGTTTAGGGTTTAGGTTTAGGGTTTAGGGTTTGGGTTGTTTTTTTTCATGCAACGCTGAACCCTGAACCCTGCACCCCAACCCTGCTGCTTGTCTTGCTTGGTTCAGGGATGAGGGCTTGGGGTTGCGATCTCGTTTTTGCTGGGGGCAGGGGCGGGGCTTTTTTGAGGGCTTCTTGATGCGCTCAGCCAGGTGCTGAACCTAGAGACCCTAAAGCCTTTAACCCTTCAACCCCAAAACATCCCTAAAAGCCCGAAACCCGAAACCCTAAACCCAAACCCTAAACCCTAAACCCTAAACCCTAAACCCTGAACCCTAAACCCTCAAGCCCTTCAACCCTGCATCCCTTTCCAGGGGCGGCTGTCCAGCGCAGGCACGCGCGGGTGGCTCTGCCGCAGCTGGGGGCCTCCGGGTCGAGCGTTTAGGGTTTAGGGTTTAGGGTTTAGGGTTTAGGGTTTAGGGTTTAGGGTTTAGGGTTTAGGGTTTAGGGTTCAGGGTTTAGGGTTTAGAGTTTCGGGATGTTCAGGGTCTAGGGTCTAGGGCGTCGCGAATTACAGCAACGCATCCCCAGCTGGAACTACCCACGCACCTGGTAGAGCACCCTGCGGAAGACCCCACTACGCCCTTTAAAGCCCCCAGGAACCCCCAAAAAAACCGGAAAACCCAGTTAAACCTCATAAAACCCAGAAGACCCATTTTCAACCCTTTAAAAACCCATAAGACAAACCGTCAGACCCTAAAAAGCCTCGTGCGCTCCAGGTCCGGTGCGGATGCAGAGTTTTGGGTTTAGGGTTTAGGGTTTAGGGTTTAGGGTTTAGGGTTTAGGGTTTAGGGCAGAGTTTTGGGGATCAGCTGCGAGGTTCTTTGACTTAGCAAGCCTACTCGGCAACCCCTAAGAAACCCTGAGTTTCATCCCCATCACCCACCTTGCAAGCCCTGCAGTGCTTGCTAAGTCAAAGGAGCCTCCAAGTAGTCAGTTTGGGGGGGCTGGCGGGATGGTCGCAATCTCCCGAACCTAGAGCCCTCAAGCCATAAACCCCCCCTAGAAACCCCCTAGAAACCCCCTAAAAACCCCCCAAAAGCCCCCTAAACCCCCCGCCATTTCTTGAGAACAGAACTCCTGAGGTCAAAGCGCGAAACCCCGCACCCATCCGGGCGGCCTGCACCCGCCTCGTCGCTGAAACCTCCTTTGCCTGCAGCTGACTTTATGGCCTGGAACGCTGCGGACTCCAGGCAAGAAACAGCACAAAAAAAGAACAGCTAAATTTCTGGTCCTCTTTGGGGTACCCTGAATATGAGGGGCCGCCTTACCATGCGGAGGGGTTTCAGAAATTTAGGGTACCTTATCGGGGTCCGTATTGTTTGGGGGTCTGTTTTAGGGTCCCCTATGTTCGTAAACCCCCATTTGGGCTGGTGGGAAGAACCTCAGCAGTATTAGGTTTAGGGTTTAGGGTTTGGGGTGCAGGGTCTAGGGTTTAGGAGTTTGGGGTTTAGGGTTTAGGGTTTAGGGTTTAGGGTTTAGGGTTTAGGGTTTAGGGTTTAGGGTTTAGGGTTTGGGGTGTAGGGTCTAGGGTTTAGGAGTTTAGGGTTTAGGGCTTAGGGCTATGGACAAGGCGCGGCTTCGGTGGGGTTGCCCTTCGCCTCCCAGACGGACGTTCCTGCATTCCTCTGGACGTTGGTTCCTGAGCGGTTGGGGTTGACAGTAACCTCCCAAAAGCTGGAACATCGCTGTCGACATACTCATACCGTACTCATAATTCAAGAGGGTTTCTGAAGGGAATCTCAGCACGAATGGTCCGTAACCCATGTTCCAACTTTTATGGAGTTTGCCGTAGGGCTTTTCAGGCTTGGGGCTTCCGGTTCTTGCTGAGTATTCGGCCGAGAAATGGAGCTGGCTGCTTTTGGTTGAAAGAGGTTTCAAGGTTAGGAAATCCAGCACAGGCTGCTTGGGATGTGGCATACACAAGGGCTTTAGGGGCTGGGAGCCACATAACTCTCCAGGTTCACTATGCTCACCCCAAGCCCCCGCAACCGTAAACGCTCAACTACAAACCTTCGACGGTCCGAGCGTGCCTACCCCGAAATCCTTACAAGCTCGGCCCTTCAACCGAAAATCCTACACTTCAACCCTAAGCCCCTTGGTGCCCAAAGCCCCGAACACAGACCTGCGCAATAGATGCTGTTGACCCTGAACCCGAAGACCCAAAACCCCAAAACCCTAAACCCTAAACCCTAAACTCCTGAGTGCCCACCCGCTTCTTGCAGGTCACGCTGCCATAGCAACAGAGGAACCCGCAGGCTAAGTGAGCGGAGGCGAAGTGGGCGTCCAGGCTACGGACCTTTCGGGGGCATTAGGGTTCAGGGTTTAGGGTTCAGGGTTCAGGGGTTAGGGTTTAGGGTTTAGGGTTTAGGGTTTAGAGTTTAGGGTTTACGGTGTATGGGTTCGAGGGCCGTTGTACATCATGAGTCATGCAATACGAGAATATGCACATGGGGCACGGGAGAAAAGAACGTGTACTGTCTGGGCACCCTAAACCCTAAACCCTAAACCCAAAACCCCGCCAGTCCGAGCAGAAGCCACACCCTTGGTGAGCCCACGCGCCTCCGCGCGGGCATCGCAGAGGCCCAGGTCGCGGAGTCCAGGCTGTGAGAAATCTTGGCGAAGTGCCTTGGGTTTAGGGTTTAGGGCTTAGGGCTTAGGGTTTAGGGTTTAGGGTTTAGGGTTTAGGGTTTAGGGTTTAGGGTTTAGGGTTTAGGGTTTAGGGTTTAGGGTTTAGGGTTTAGGGTTTAGGGTTTAGGGTTTAGGGTTTAGGGATAGGGTCCCATTTGTGCAAGGGTTTCGACTCCACTTTTGGTTCACTTTGGCACTTTGAGGCTTCGGGTATGGGGCTCTTAAGGGGACGGGGGGGGGGGTTAGGGTTTCGGGTTTTGGGTTTGGGTTTAGGCTACAGCTGCTGAGACACCTCCGATAAACCATACTACCCTGAATTCGGGGATCTGAACCTAAACCCCAAAACCTACAAGCTAAGTCCTAAAACCCTAAGCTCCAAACCCTACATGATTAAACCCTAAACCCTAAACCCTAAACCCTAAACCCTAAACCCTGAAATCTAAACTGCTCAACGCTCCCAGAAACCAAGAGCTGGCGAGCTGAAAACAAGGGCGGGGTTGCTTGCTTGGGCTCCCAAGGACTGGACTCGACTTTAGAAACCCAAAGTGCTTGCGAGGGTTCCCTAACCCCTAAACCCTAAACCCTAAACCCTAGACCCTAAACCCTAAACCCTAAACCCTAAACCCTAAACCCTAAACCCTAAACCCTAAACCCTTACCTCCAAACCCCCTTAAGGACCCCGAAGCTGCATGTTGCAAGCTGGTTTGGGGGAGACGGGTATGCTTGGAGGCTCATGGTGCTTATGTACCAATAGTAACTGGGTTTAGGGTTTAGGGTTTAGGGGTTTAGGGTTTAGGGTTTAGGGTTCAGGGTTTAGGGTTTAGGGTTTAGGGTTTAGGGTTTAGGGTTTAGGGTTCAGGGGACTTATGACCCACTTATAAGCCCCTTACGCACCCTAATATGGCTGCAAATTGGGTACCCTCAACTTCGAAGTGGGGCTGAAGGGGCTCTGAAGTTAGGGTTTAGGATTTAGGGTTTAGGGTTTAGGGTTTAGGGTTTAGGGTTTAGGGTTTAGGGTTTAGGGTTTAGGGTTTAGGGTTTAGGGTTTAGGGTTTAGGGTTTAGGGTTTAGGGTTTAGGGTTTAGGGTTTAGGGTTTAGGGTTGACGGTTGTCGGTTTAGGGTTTAGGGTTTAGGGTTTAGGGTTTAGGGTTTAGGGTTTAATTAGGGTTTAGGGTTTAGGGTTTGGCAACATGGCAACCCGGAACTTGAAACTCTCCCCCTCAGGGCCCTGTGTAGGTTGAAACCAGCAACTCAAAGGCGCATTTCCAACTGAAGCTGCCCCTGTGTGAAACCCTACTGGAACTTTCAACCCTAAACCCTAAACCCTCAGGGTTCAGGGTTTATGGTTTAGGGTTTAGGGTTGAGGGTTTAGGGTTTAAAAGTTCAGCATTTGCGGGTGCAGGGTTCAAAAACTTAGGGAGAGTCTACCTTGAGATAAACTGTGGAGGCTGGTGGCATGAGGGTCAAAGCGGCCGTCCATGTGCTGTTTGTGCTGCTGCCTGCAGCTGACAGACAGGGTTTTGGGTTTTGGGTTTAGGATTTAGGTTTTAGGGCTTAAGGTTTAGGTTTAGGGTAGGGCTGTAAACTCCGGTCGGCTTAGGGGCTTGGGGCTTAAGGGTATGCTTGCTCTGCATCAAACCCTTCCTGGATGTCACGGGCTCCCAGTTTTTTGTGTCGGACTAAGCCGCGCCCGAGCACTTCCGAACCCAAAACCCTAATCCCTCCGATTACAAAATCCGCCGAGGCCTCGGGCCGGATGTGTATAGGTTGTGAGAACAGGCACCCCCCTCCAAATCCCCCCACACCCAAATCAAAGCCATTCTTCGGACCCCTTTTTTTTGCCTCAAATGGGCAGCCCCCCTACAAAACCGGAATCGGGTATAGGGCCCCCCCTCTACCCCCCACCCCCCCCCCCCCCCCCCCCCCCCCCCACCCTACCCCCCCCTACCGCCCCCCCCCCTCCCCCCCCCTCCCCCGCCCCTCCCCCCCCCCCCCCCCCCGCTTGCCTTTTCCTGTGAGCATGACCGAAAAATGCATTACACGAGCCGAAGAGTCTAAGCTTGAACCTAAACCTTATTAAAGCTTAAGCCTCAACCCGCTGCCCCCCTTCCCCCCCCCCCCCCCCTCCCCCCCCCCCCTGTAAAGATAAGTGAAAGATAACAGGTGAATAAATAATATACTGGCCAACGCTTAGTTTAACACCACGCGAAATTCTAGCTAGAAATTCTAGCAAACCACATCCTAGAAATTCTAGCTAGAAATTCTAGGAAAATGTTATGAGGTAGAGTGTATTTTGTTGGGTTCCTCCAGTTCTAAAGTTTTAGACCAATTCCACCAAACGAGACAGTACTGAGGGGCCTGACTCAACCCTACGATCACTCCAAGCCGAACCCTAAACCCAAAAAAAACCCAAACCCCAAAGCGTGAACCTTGAGCCCTAAGCCCTCAATCCTAAACTAACCCTCAACCCTAAACCCCAAACCATAAACCATAAACCCGGAACCCTAAACCCTAAACCCAACCCTTATTGCTTGGGGTCCAGCGACTTGGGCGCTGCGGAATCACCATGCTCACGCGGATGCGCTGGGCCGGGCCGAGGCGGGTCGCATAGCGTTAAAATGAAGATTCCCTGAGCTCTGACCCCAGAACCTACACCATATTGTGTTCACTGACGTCCCGCCCTTTTCCTGTGCCCATGAGCCTGTGTACATGGGTATGACAGCGAGATGCAAAAGCTCATGCATAGCCATCTCAAGCATCTGCCTTGCCGTGAAGGCAAAGATGTCTCCACGGCAGCGTAGCACAATCCCTTAGCCCTTAGCCCTAAACCCTAAACCCTAAACCCTAAACCCTAAACCCTAAACCCCGTCTAGGGCTGTGATCAAGAGGCCGAGTGGCGTGAGCTCCGCTGTCGGGAAGACGCCACCATTCTGGCTCAAGCCCTTCAGCGGGTAGAAAGACAGCGATGACTCCCTGCCGGCACTTCAGCATGCGTCTTGAGGGATTTAGGGTTTAGGGTTTAGGGTTTAGGGTTTAGGGTTTAGGGTTTAGGGTTTAGGGTTTAGGGTTTAGGTTTAGGGTTTAGGGTTTAGGGCTTAGGGTTCCTGAAGGGCAACGTGCCAATGTGCTTAAGGTGCCAAATCATGGTGCAATAGTTGGACCCCCAAACAATAAACAATAAACAATAAACCCTCAACCCCCAAACCTCAAACCCTAAACCCTGAGCCCTAAACCCTGAACCCTAAACCCTAAACCCTCAACCCTCAACCCTAAACCCTAAACCCTAAACCCTGAACCCTGAACCCTGAGCCCTGCCAAAGCCCGGAGTCCACCTCACGGAAGTGCCCGCTGCCCCAAGGGCATCATCCTGGCAGATGCCAAGCACCTCAACTTTCAGGGGTTTAGGGTTTAGGGTTTAGGGTTTAGGGTTTAGGGTTTAGACCTTAACATAGGGTTGCTGGCTTCGGGTTGAAAGTGCGTAGCCTGCGGCATCTTTCGAACGGGCCGTCACCCACCGCGCCAACCCTGCCATACCGCGTGCCAAGGTCTCCCCAAGGACGACGCCTCTTAGACTGAGTTGAACCATCTTCGGCCCACATCCCTACTCCGAAACCTGAGAGGGAACATTGTGGTATGTCCCAAAATAAGGGGTACCCCCTTGATAACCCAAACAGAATAGAATCCTCTTAAAGGGACCCCCAAAAAGGGGTCCCCTATTTTCGGAAGTCCCCCATATGAATTCGCTACGATATCATATCATAGGGGGGTCATCACACGAAAACCTCAGCTGGTTTCCCTAAGGACGCGGAGCAGAAAAGCAGGCAGAAGGGGCCCCCGCCACGCTGGCTGTCATCTTGCCCTGTGCAGGTCAGCTGGGCAAAGCGGGGGTTTAGGGTTTAGGGTTTAGGGTTTAGGGTTTAGGGTTTAGGGTTTAGGGCTTAGGGTTTAAGTTTCGTCTTCCCATGCGTTTCTAGTGGTTTAGGGCCCCAAGGGGGGGGGGGGGGGGGGGGGGGGGGTCATATAGACCACTCAGGCCAAGGGGACTAGGGTTAGGGTTTAGGGCTTGGGGGCCGCAACGTTCCACCTTCGTGGGAAGAATCCGGTTCACGCGGCTGTGTAGCTACGACCGCGGCCAACTGGGGCCCTGAAAAGTGATGGTTTGGATTGGTACAGTAGCGCAGGCTCAACCCTAAACCACAAAACCTGAAACCCGTAAACCCCTAGACCCTAAACTCACCCTAAACCCTAAACCCTAAACCCTAAACCGCAAAGAAGCCTAACACCTGTGACCTGAAGCCCTGGACCCTCTCCCACCGGGCCGTACCTCAGTCAACGTACCCGTCTTGTCTGTGCAGATGACCTGCTGCGCTCTCGCACCCAAACCCTAACCTAAACCCTAAAGCCTGGGGGGCGTGGGGGCCGAATCTAAATGATGGGCCCTTCTTGGGGATGCGATTTCTTTTTCGAATCCTGTAATTACCTCTTCAAGGCTGAACCAGGAAGCTGTCAGTAGCTAGAGGAAGTCATCTCTTGTTCAAAGAAAGGATACGGGCGCGGCGCTCTTTAGGGTCTTCGTGAAACCTTCTTGGGTAGGTCTCCGGGCTGGGGATTCAGCCGCCGGCCCTGCGCACGGTGTGTGAAGGATTTAGGGATCTGCGGGATTCGGGACTGTCGGGGCCCAGGGCTGAGGGTTGCTGATGGAAGGATAAAGAGAAAAGCCGCTAGAACGAAAGAAGAACAGGGGGAGCGTTCACTGGATGGACTTCTCGCGCTTCCAGTAGGGTTCTGGGGCTTAGGGCCGATGTCACCGTTTGTTGGTTCTTTTTCGTGTAGAGAATTTGATGGTGGACCCTCAACCCTAAACCCCTGAACTCAGGACTCCCGCTAGGTGTCATGCTTACTTGGTTCCGTTGATTTTTATTTTTGTTGCCTTCACTTCTTCTTGAAGAGGTGGTCCTGCATCTTTTCTGGGGGAAGGCCGGGCTTGGCCATGATAGCACTCATGATCACCGTCGACCCTCGGTCTCAGCTGTAACGCCACCCAGTGGCAGAAGTCGGCAGAGATCCTGAAAACTCGAAGCCCTCAACCCAGCGCCTGCAGCCCCCCGCCCCCAAGATCGAGCCAGGGTGGCCGTAGTTGCAGCCAAGTAGTCTACGGCAGAGACCTCCAAGGGTTCGGAAGTTTAGCCACAGTAATCCTAGGGGCCTTAATAACTAGAATAGGGTTTTGGGAGGTTGCTATAGTATAGTATAACAATAAAGGCCACCATACCATTAACAACGCAGAAGTGAGCCTGGCATCTTGTCTCCGGAGGGTTGAGGGTCAAAGGTTGAGGGTCGAGGATTGAGGGTTTGTGGCTGAGGGTTTAGGTTAGGGTTTAGGGTTCGGGCTTAGGGTTCATGCCCAAGTAGTTCCCCATAACCATACCCACGTTTTACTTCCCAACTGTAGTACAGAAGCTGAATCTTCTTTCCCCCAAAAAAAACGTACATGAATAAATACACATACATATATATATATATATACACAGAGAGCATACTGTAAACCCCGCCAAGCCCCCCTCCACAGACACCCAAAAAAAACAACGCCCTCTCCGACCTTCATGACCACGCCGTTATTCCGGGCCATGGCCAGGCCGCCGACCCGCAGCATGATCGTGGAAACCAGGGGGATGCCGTGCCTGGCTTCAAAGCGGCGAAACCCCCCAAAAAACCCTCCGAAACCCCCCAAACCCCCTAAATCCCCAGACCCTAAGACCCCCAAAAGACAATTTCAGAGCCCTAAAAACCTTAAAAACCCCTGAAGCCTTAAACCCTGCAACCCCAAAACCCGACACCCTAAGGCCAAATCTGAATCCCAAAACCCAAGCCCTTCTAAAACCCCCCAAAACACCAAAGCCGTAAACCCTACAACCCCCAAAACCCCACACCCTAAGGCCCTCAGGTGCTGAAGGCTTTGGGGTGTGACGAAGGTGGCATTTCAGGGTCTGGAATGCCGACTCCGAAGATCAGGATGCGGGGTTTGTTCGGACTTCGGGGTGAGGAGTCAGGGATTGAGGGTTTGGGGCTTAGGGTTTTAGGGTTTAGGGTTTTAGGCTTGTGTACGGATTAGAAAGGGCTGAGCATGCTGATTCTCTGGGCTCCTGTCTGAGTTCGATGAAGGCTCTTACCTGCTTGAACTTCACTATCCCTAGGCCTTAAACCCTAAACCCGAAAACCCTAAGCCCTAAGCCCTGAGCCCTAAGCCCTATGCCCTACTTAACAACCCAGCTGCGGGATGAGCGCCACGGTCATGACCACAGCCTCAGGGTGAGAGGCCACAAAGCAGATCTCAAGCCCTGGTGCTGCCAAAAGACCTCCACCCCTCTCGGTTTAGGGTTTAGGGTTTAGGGTCTGGGGTTTAGGGTTTAGGGTTTAGGGTTTAGGGTTTAGGGTTTAGGGTTTAGGGTTTAGGGTTTAGGGTTTAGGGTTTAGGGCTTCTAGGGTTTGGGGCTTCTAGGGTTTAGGGTTTAGGGTTTGGGGCTTCTAGGGTTCAGGGTTTGAGGGTTTAGGGGATACCTTTCAACCACCCCCAACACCATTGATAACTGGGGTTCTATACGCAAGCCGACAGGGAAAATTCGAAACCCTAATAAGCCTAACCCCCCAGACAAAAATGCTGCAAACTAGTATCTAGTCTGCGTCACACTCGGATTGCCAGACCCTGACCCGCGTTACCTCCGCGTTGGGGTTCAGGGTTCCGGGGGGGGAGGTGGGGTTTAGGGTCTAAAGTCTAGGGTTCAAGGTTTAGAGTTTAGGGTTGTGGGTTTAGGGTTTGGGGTTTGGGGTTTGGGATTGGTGAGGGGGGGGGGGGGGGGTCCAGGGCATCTCAAAACAAACCAAGCAACCCGCAAGACCGAGCCCTTCAGGAAGCAGCCCATGTCCGCCGCATCACCTCGGCACTCTTTGTGAAACTGCTTCTTTGGTGCGGGGTCCCTTCAAATAAATCACTCTGAGTCCTACTCTACCCCCCCCCCCCCCCAGAAACCCTAAACCCGAAACCCTAAGCCCTCCTACCCCAAAACCCCAAAAGCCTTAAACCCCATACCCGATGACCCCTAAAGCCTTAACCCTATGCCCTGTAACCCAACAGGCCTTGACCCAAACCGATACCCTATAAACTAACCCGAAACTCCAAGCCCTAAACCCCATAAACCCGCAAAGCCTTAACCCAAACCAAAATGCAAAAGTTGTCCGAAAACGGAACCCTAAACCCTGTACCCTATAACCCCAACAGACTTAACCCCTATACCCTGTAAGCCAAAAAGCCTGAACCCAACACCAAAAATACGCAAGTTGACCGTCCCCAATCCCGAAACCGTAAACCCGAAACTGATACCCTAAACCCTAAACCCTAAACAGTCGGGTCACATGGCCGCGCCGGGTCCTGGAAGCCTGAACGGAAGCGGTGCTGGAGCTTTGGGCACGGGGGGGCTTTGGGGGTTTAGGGTTTAGGGTTTCGGGTTTAGGGTTTAGGGTTTAGGGTTTTGGGGCGTTTAGGGGTTAAAGGACTTGGGGATTGTTGTTTAGCGCTTTGGGATTTCGGGTTTGAGGCATTTAGGGGTTTCTGGACGCGAGCACCGACTCCCCCACATCCTGCCAAATCCCGACTGACTCTTCCGACAAGTGTCCGGTCGCGAACGCCAGAGAGGTCGCCAGCAAGATCACGACGCCCAGCACACCTGCTTCGGCTTGCACGTCGAGGGGTCACACTTCAGGGGAAACCCTTGAGCCTAAACCTCCAACCTGAAATGCCTAAGCGCCATTTCCACCAAGTATTGAGACTGCACTGAACTTAGGGAGCTTAGAGGCAAACCCCTTCCAAGCTCTACACCTAAACCCTGCGCCCGAAAGCTGAAACCCTAAACCACTTTTCGGGGCCATTTTGGGTGGTGCGGTTTGCTTTGGGGAGGAGATTGTCTGAAGCCTATCTCCAGCGGCTTATGAAGGACCCGAATTTCCCGTATAAGGAGGGAAGGGAGCCGATGCCCATCAGCCCCTAATCTTACCGGCCCGGAAACCCTAAACCGTCCCCAAAACCGCAAACCTCAGCCCGAAACCCTGAAAAAAAAAAAAAAAAACAGCCCCCAAGCCCTTAACCCCCAACCTTCACACCCTAAACCCAAAACCCGAAATCCCCCCCGCCCCATACCCAACCAAGCACGATCTCCAGAGAGACTGTCGGCCTGCCAGGCGGGTGGCCAACTTGTTCACCTCTGGGGGGCTTTGCAGGGCTTTGAGGGTAGGGCTTAGGTTATTGTTCTTCTCTTCTTACGGATCATACTCTTCTAGTTCTTCTTCTTATTATTCTTCTTCTTCATGCTTATGATTATTATATATTGCTATTATGGTTATTCTTTCTGAGAATTCGTTTAGAGTTTGTTGGGTTTTGAGAGGTGTTTGAGTGTTGAAGAGTGTTTGGGAGAGCGTTGAGGGCGCTGACGGGCTTTAGGTCTTTGAGGCATTTTTGGGTGTTGAAGGGCGTTAGGAATTGTGGGGTTTCGGGTTTAGGGTTTGAGGGTGTTGGGTTGGAGGCTGAGGGTTGTACGATCTTGCACCAAGTCACTGACAGCATCAGGGGGTTCTTCTCCGTGACGCTCCTTGCTGTGCGGGGTGTGGGGAGGGTTTACGGATGTCTGGAACCCTAAACCCTAAACCCTAAACCCTAAACCCTAAACCCTAAACCCTAAACCCTAAATAGATCACTCCACTGAAGCCACCAAGAAGCCAAGTCGGAGGTTCTACCTTCTGGAACCTCCTGGGGGTTCTGGTTTTGGGCTTGGGTCCATTGCTGCGGATTTGTCCAAACAGCATGCCCTGCAATCTCCGCTATGCACAAGAGCCACAAGAACGGGGACATTCAAGTACCTTCCCACAAAATCGCAGTTGCTTCTGTGAGCGGCGGTTGCTTTGCCAACTACTCGAACTCCTGTGTTGTGGACCGTGGCTGCGCTAGGATGTTGTTGCGTATCAGCCGGCTTTGATGCCCCTGGATATGTCGGAGGCACTGTGGGTGAAATGCCTCGATGCGTCGGTCGGCATTCATGAGAGGAGCCGGCTCCATGCCAAAGTGATCATGTCTGTAGCTGATGGCATCTGCATAGAAGTATGGCACCGCAGATCCGCTGCTTGCATTTAGACCTTCCGATCTCCAGAGCTGTGAGCTGTGTGGAAAAGCCAAAGAGCCTGATGCCCCTTGACGAAGGAATATACCTGAAATCCTGAAGATCCCTCTCTACATGAAGGAAAATATCCTTCGTGAAGAGGTACTGGGCTCTCAGGGAATCCGAGGGCGGAGGATGACTCCTCCGCAGGGGATTCTACCCCGGACCCCTGAGTTGCGCTTCGGCTTTTGGTGACCCTGTTTAAGGATCCTCTAGAAGATATAGAAGGGCCGTCTTCGGAGCATCTTAAAGGGGAATCGGGGTACAACCTTAGGGCACAAGCCTTAACCCCTTGAGAAGAACGCACTAGAAGCCCTGATCCCTACACCCGAAACCCTAGAACCTTGAGTAGCGCAACGAAGACCGCGCTGGAAGCCCCAAGGTTTAGGCAAGCTTCTTTTGCTGCCCCAGCCGTTTGGCGATGAGCCCGACCTGTGTGCGCATCCCGGTGTCGGTGACCTGGATGAGCAGCGGGCTTGGCTTTTGCACGTGGGTTTTGGGTTTTTGGGCTTCGGGTCTAGGGTTTAGGGTTTTGGATTGAGGGTTTAGGGTTCAGGCTTTAGGCTTAGGAGGGCTTGGGCTTCGGGAAGTCTAGGGTTTAGGGCTTGGCCGCGAAACAGGTCCCATGGTCCCTGGGTTTTCTGGGCTTTTTGGGAGAAAAAAAAGACGCTCTTGGAGATGAAACAACCTGAAGTTAAACCCTAAAGGCCCTGAACCCGCATTCTTCGACTGTCCGGGCAGGTGAAGGATATAAACCTTACATAGTCCCCTGTAACTGAGAAGATAACGGCCACATAAACCTTATATAAACCTTATATAAAGATAACGGCTAAAGAAACCAATTATAGTCCCCTATGACTGAGAAGATAACGGCTAAAGTAAAGGTGACTGGGTACGATCGATGTAGAGATGCCTGTCTAATTAGGCAGAGCCCACCGGGCACCCCCGTGCCTTGCAGCGCCTACGAAACCACTTAAAGCTGGGAAGCCCTGAACCCTAAACCCTGAACCCTAAACCCTACAACCCTAAACCCCAAACCCTAAACCCCAAACCCTAAACCCCAAACCCGAAACCCTAAACCCTCAACCCTAAGCCCTAAACCCTAAACCCTAAACCCTAAAACCCTAAACCTACAGATTTTTTGGGGGGCCCCAGGGCTTCCGGGCCCGAAACCCTGAAGGCGGTGCTCCTGCCTCGGCCCGGCCATAGCCCGTCATCACCTCAAGGCGGTTTGCGGCCGCAGGGGTTCTAGGGTTTAGGGTTTAGGGTTTAGGGTCTAAGGTTTAGGGTTTAGGGGTTTAGGGGTTTAGGGGTTTAGGGGTTTAGGGGTTTAGGGGTTTAGGGGTTTAGGGGTTTAGGAGTTTAGGGGTTTAGGGGTTTAGGGGTTCAGGGCTTCAGGGGTTTAGGGTTTAGTGGGTTAAGTACAGCTATAATTGGTTAATTAGTACCATGAACCTCCAAGTAGGGTAATGCAGTGGCTACTTAGGTGTATAGGGACCATGTAATGAGGGTTATATAGGGGGAAAAAGATGAAGGGTCCCTTCTTGAGGTCCCTCCTTACATCCCTTAAGGTTGAGGGCCCCCCAAACCCTAAACCCCCAAAACTCTTAAAGGGTACCCTACACCCCGAAAGTCTTGCAACGAACATGAGCGTCGTCTACCCCCATCATCTGCACCCCACATCCTACGCCCCAAGGGTTTAGGGTTTAGCACTTAAGCGAACCGAGTTCAGCATTCGCGGTTTACACTAAACATCTGGGGTTAAGGGCTCAGGGTCCCTATACCCCAGCCCAAGCCCAAACCTGCACCCGACCCCCCGCCGCCACGAAGGCCAAAAACCTTAAACCCTAATTCCTGGACCCTAAGCCCCAAACCCTGAACCCTAAACCCTAAACCCTAAACCCTGAACCCTAAACCCTAAACCCTAAACCCAAACCTAAACCCCCCTCGCCTCGGTCCCGCTGTAAAGCATGTTGGATCGGAATGGGGCATCGGCATCCTGCAAGTTCCCAAGTTCCAGGGAGTAGGGGCCAGCGTTCAAGGCTTAAGCTGAAGCCTCGGTTTAGGGTTTAGGGTTTAGGGTTTAGGGTTTAGGGTTTAGGGTTTAGGGTTTAGGGTTTAGGGCTTAGGGCTTAGGGCTTAGGGCTTAGGGCTTAGGGTTTAGGGTTATTTCCCTCCCATACTTGGAGGCTCAGGGTACCTATTAACCCAATTATTACTGTATGCATAACCCAATGATAGCCATATTAGGGCACTCAGGGGGCTTGTAAGTGGTTTATAAGTACAGCCACAATTGGTTAATAAGAACCATGAACCTCCAAGTAGACCCTACGTCCTAAACCCTACACCCCCCAAAGAACTGTAGATAACCGGAGCCTGGTCCGGATCCCCAAACCCCTACATTTCATGGACCCCCACTTCAGACAACCCATACCACCCTGACCCCTAAACCCTAAACCCTAAACCCCAAGCCCTAAACCCTAAACCCCAAACCCTAAACCCTAAACCCCGAAACCCTAAAGCCTGCAAAAGGAAGCCGGTCCTTGAGCTCCACCGACTTGCTGACCTCCATGGACTCGCCCGTCAGCACCTGCAGAGAAGGCTGAGGGCAGGTTCGGGTTTAGGGTTTAGGGCTTAGAGTTTAGGGTTTAGGGTTTAGGGTGTAGGGTTTAGGGCTTTGGGGTTTAGGGTTTAGGGTTGAGGGCTTCCGGGTTGTCGGGTTGACGGTTTCTTGTAAAGATTCGCAGCATCCTGAGCTTGAGCCCAGAGTGGCCTATGAATAAAATGGGGTTACACTTTCTGTTTAAAGGGGCCCTAGACCCCTAAACCCTAAACCCCAAATCCTTACAATACCCTAAACCCTAAGCCCTAAACCCTAAACCCTAAAACCCTAAAACCCTAAAGAACAAAAAAGGGGAAGCAGAGGGGAGAGGCCTCTCAAATTTCCCCGAATGAAGCCAAAGGGCGGCTTCGTTCGCCGTGAGATCCATGGCCTCCAGGATGACCATGTCCGCGGGCACCTTTCACGTCTGGAGTTCAGGGTTAGGGCTTTAGGGTTTGGGGTTTAGGGCTTAGGGTTCAGGATGTGGGGTTTAGGGTTTCGGATCTAGGATTTGGGGTTGACTGTTTCGGGTTGAGGGTTTCGGGTTCAAGGTTTAAGGTTTAGGGTTGCCCGAAACCCTGAATCCTACGCAGACCTTGGATCCGAAGCCCTGAAAGCCTTGTGGTCGGAATGGGCTGCGGGGATGAGAGGGCGCATGCGCGCTGTGATTTTGGTTGTTCTTCTCTCTCTCTCTCTCTCTCTCTCGCTCTCTCGCTCTCTCTCTCTCTCTCTCTCTCTCTCTCTCTCTCTCTGCCTACCTTGCGAATGTCGGGCTTATTTTACTTGGGATGTTCCCCATTGTACTAGCAGTCCTTGATCGGGATTATAATAGGGGGTGCGGGATTATAATAGGGGGTACGATAATCCCTTGCCTTGACAAGGACGGGCTCTCGGCATAACAGTGCAATCCGCAATTGTGCCCTAAACGCTAAACCCAAAACCCTACACCCTAAGCCCTAAACCCTAAACCGTAACAACCCCAGACCTAAACCCCGAACCAGACGAGGGTGTCAGGGTTTGGCTTCTGTCAGGGTCAGGGTTTGACGGTTTAAGGCCACGACCACGTCGCCCATCTTCACCAGCACCACATCTCCCACAACCAGGTCCTGTGCCTTCGCTGCGCAATCTGCAAGGTTCAGAGAGCCTAAGGACTCTTCGGAAATGTCAAACTTCCTAGTTCTTGGTAAGGAATTCGGGAAACTAGGGTCCTTGTACTCAAGGCATCTTCTCTTCTTGGCTGCTACTTCTGACTTCACAAGCAGAACAGCCACGGCGCCTCGACCAGGGCTTCACGCCCATCTCGCATGCAAGTCGTCCTCAGGGCAGGTTCGTCAAAACCACGCAGCTCGCAAGCCCAATGCTCCGGCGTAGTGCAGCGGCCCGACACAAAATGGGGGTATTTCCACAAGTAAGGGGTACCATTAAAACATCCCCAAAATAGCAAAATCCTTCTTAGAGGAACCCCCCAAAGGGTACCCCTTTTTTCGGAAACCCTTAAATGGGAAAGCCCGAAGTCTACAACCCAGACACCCCCCAATCTACCGCAAGCCCTCGAGCCCAACTGTTGGAAGACCGCTTTTCATCGACCATATTTTCGGCCGATAAAGCCTTGTCCATACTCAAACTCTGCACCACTCAACCCTGCACCACCTACCAACCCAAAGAGCCCAACGCCCCTTCATTCAGCAACATATACCTTAAGTCATATTCAGGATCCCTCGTTAAATTAAGGGGCATGTTCCTGAATGAAAAAAATAATGGGCTCCCTACGAACACAACACCCGAAACCGTGTCCTGTGGGCCGCCATCTTGCAGAGGGCAGAGCCGGCGTCTTGGCTGCTGTACTCCTGGGTTGCGGGCTTAGGGCTTAGGGCTTAAAGGGGGCTGAGGGGGCTTAGGAGGCTTAGGGGCTGCCTTGTGTGGGCTTCCCTTTTGGGTTTAGGAGGCGTAGAGGGTTCTCTCTCTTGACGTTGGGGGGCTTCAGGGGGCTTGAGCTTCAGGCTTTATCGAGCGTAGGCTTTTGACCGCAATGGCTAGGCTCCTGTATTACTTCGGAGCTTCATATCGCTACTTGGAGGTTCATGGTACTTTATAGCTAATTTTATACCTGTACTAATAACCCACTTCTAAGCCCCTCAAGTGCCCTAATATGGGTATAATCGGGTTAGAAGTACATTGACTATTGGGTCAAAACTGTACCATGAACTTGCCGCGAGCTTCCCCGTAGGTGTTGAGCAGGCAGACGAACACCACGACCCCGATCAGGATAGCGGCCTGGCAGGGTTTAAGGGAAATTAGGGTTTAGGGTTTAGGGTTTAGGGTTTAGGGTAGTAGGGCTGTGGGGTTTTAGAGAACAGGGTTGAGGGTTTTTTTATTTGGCCGACAAACAAACCGTTTTAGGGTCTTAGCCTTCAGGGCTTAGTAAGGTTCAGGGTTCAGTCAGGGCTTAAGGTTAAGGGTTTTGTGTTGACACCGCCCAGGGCGGGGGGGGACTGTAGTACTCGGGCTTCGTTTGACCTCGCCTTGTGCCGGTCGCCACAGCTGTAGGACACAGCAGACGCCAGGGACGTAAGCAGAAACACCACACTCCTGGGCTGTTCCAAGAGGTTTGTTCAGGTGGTTCAGGACCCTGCCATCCACAACGCAAACAACCTCAAGCAGTACACGGGCGGCATTTCTGACCGCGATTATGTTCACACAAACCCTGAACCCTAAACCCTAAACCCTAAACCCTAAACCCTAAACCCTTCATGCCTGCCAGTGCGTCCTATCGGAACTCTGCAAAACGGACCGTGTGCGTTCCATGGCTCTGCGTCTGCCGGAGGAAGATGCGGAGGAGGCCCTCCTGGTTTAGGGGTTTAGGGTTTAGAGTTTAGGGCCCGGAACAGGAAAGCTCCCAGACACTCCTAGACCTGGCGTAGGATCAAGGCTTTGGCGGGCGTGGGGGGGGACTGAGGAATCCTCAGCCGCATAAGCCCCCCTAAACCCTAAACCCTAAACCCTTCACCCTGTTTTTTTGGAGGTCAAGGTTCAGGGTTGAAGGATTTGGGGCTTAGGGTTGTGGATGTGCTGGAGCTTACGGGTTTTTTAAGGGGTGCAGCCGAAGGAGGGGGGGGTGAAGGAGGACGGGAACACCAGCAATGGCTGTGTCGTCTTTACCCTATACCCGAAACCCTAAACCCTAACAAGAATCTCAACGTACCCTGATCACCTGCTGGGGGCACTTGCTCCTCCCTAAATCCTCCAGTTTAAGGTTCATAGGGCTTTGGGAACACAAAACTCAACTTAGAGGTGTCGGGTTTAGGGTTCAGCGTTTGGAGCTTCATGGTTTCCAGGCATTAGGGTGTAATTAGATGTGTAGGTTTTCGGTTTTCTGCACACAAGGCCCCCAAACACAAACCCCCTTCCAACACCCTATGTAAGACCCGCTCCCCAAGCCCTGAACCCTAAACCCTGAACCCTAAACTCTAAACCCTGAATACCTAAACCCAATAATATCTGTGCTAAACACCCAACTATAACCACGTTATGGTAATTCAGGGGCTTATAAGTGGGCTATACGTACAGTTATGATTGGTTAGTAAGACCCTGAACTTCAACCCTAAACCCTTTAAACCATGGACCCTAAACCCTAAACCCTAAACCCTAAACCCAAAACCCTAAACCCTAAACCCTTTAAACCATGAACCTCCAAGAAGGCCAGCCTTGGGAGGAGGATCCAGCTCGTTGGGGCCATCCTGCGTCCCCCCCCCCCCCCCCCCCCAACAACCCCCTCTGAAGCACTTAAGGGTAAATACACGGTCCCTTAGTCTGGGGCCTTAAAAGAGGACCCCTTCTATACCCCTACTCTACACATCAGAAGCCTCCCCAACCCACAAGCCTGAAACCTCAACCCTGAACCGGTTTCGGAATTGGGGTTTAGGGTGTGCCCTAAACACTAGACCCCTAAGCCCCCCCGAAGCCCAAACCTAGCCCAAGAGGGTCGCAGCCACCACTCCAGGGTGCACAGGCGGCTGAGGCTGTTGGGTTCAGGAGCTGGAGTTCTAACCCGTGGTCCCTAAACCCTAAGCCCAAACCCCAAACCCCAAACCCTGAAACTCCCCAAAAGCCAAAGAAGTCCTAACTGGACCCACACCCCGGACCTTGCAGCAAGACCCGAGACCTCAAGGGCTCAGGGCTTAGGGGCTCTAAGCTCTCAAGGAACAAAACAATCACGTGCCACCCGCACAGATTCCCAAGTCCTCGGCGCGTCTTTGCGTCGCCTTTGCCGAGGTCCATTTGAGGGCTTGTGGTTGTTGCTGGCCAGGGGCCTTCATGATTTCAGGCGTTCGGGGGTTTGGGGTCGAGGGTTTAGGGTTTCGAGCCTCAGGTCTAGGCTCCAGGAGAGGTGGCAGGCCCGGCTAGTGCAAAGCACCGTGTTGTCCAAGTTTCATCGACCCGCCGGAATGCTTCTACTTGATCCTTGAAGAAGCAGAGCCCGTCCACCGTTGGCTGCCCCGTACTATCTTGTATGTGACTTCTCGCGTCCTTTCAACCCCGAACCCCAAAGCATGAACCGCAAGAACCGGCGGCAGTGTCCAGCATGACTACTCCAACACCGACGAACCACCCCGAACAGACGCTGCCTCAGTAATTTCAAGCCAGATCACCCAAAACAAGACCCCAACTCCCCCAGAGCCCGGCACCTCGGCTGTGGAGAGCCCCAAGGAAGGCTGGAAGGTTCCATGACCGGGCTGCTGCGGCGAGGTGAGGAGCGGGACGCGGGGCGCCTTGCGAATGCTTTCGGGGAGGTGAGGGTGCAGGGTTTGAAGGAAACATGAGCTTCTTGTAAGGGAGGGGGGTTCATGGGGGGTAGGTACCTAGCAAACCTTAGGGAAGCGCAGGGAGTAGTGGGGAGTGTTGGAACCTTGGGTTACATACCCCCCTTGAACCCCCCTCCCTTAAGAGCCCGCAAAAGTTAAGGTTCTCCATAAACCCTAAACCCTAAACCCTAAACCCTAAACCCTTAAGGTACTCCACCTTAAGACCGAAGCTCCAAGGCCAAGAACTTTTCCAAACCCGTGCACCTGCCACATGCACATGACAGGGCCGAAAGTATGTTCCACAGCGCCCGAGATGCCCGAAAACTACCCTAAACCCAAAACACTAAACCCTAAACCCTAAACCCTAGACCCTAGACCCTAAACCCTAAACCCTAACCCCTAAACCCTAAACCCTAAACCCTAACCCTACCCAGCCTCCATGCGCGGAGGCCGCCCCCCGGCGCGGAGAGGGTGGCGGTTTGGGGGTTCAGACAATGTCAGGGCTTTTGTCCGCTTTGGGCATCCGGGGCACCCTACTGCAAGAACCCTAAACCCTAAACCTAAACCCTAAACCCTAAACCCCAAA